AAATAAATAAATAAATAAATAAAATTAAAAACCACCAAACAACTATCTAGATTTACCAAACAGCATTCACAAAGATAGCAGCATAGCTCTCTGAATAGCTAATTTATAACCTAGATATGAGACTGAAAGAACTGGTCTAGATGTTTAAGAATTAAATATGCAAAGAGGAACATTTCGTTTCCAAACCACTGAGACCCAGCTCTGCTTGTTATTCCTTTTTCTTTATGGATGCATCAACATATCCTTTAAAGCGGGGGTCCCCAATCCCCAGGCCATGGACCAGAACCAGTCCCTCACCTGTTAAGAACCATGCCGCACAGCAGGAGGTGAGTAGCGGCCCGGGAGTGCAGCATCATCTGTATTTACAGCCACTCTCCATTGCCGGCATGACTGCCTGAGTGCGGCTTCTTGTTAGATCAGCAGCGGCATTAGATTCTCACAGGAGACCAAATACTGTTGTGAACTCGCATGCGAGGGATCTAGGTTGCATGATTCTTATGAGAATCGAATGCCTGATGATCTATCAGTCTCCCATCACCCCGGATGGGGCAGTCTAGTTGCAGGAAAACATGCTCAGGGCTCCCACTGATTCTACTTCGTTATTAAAATGTAATAATAATAGAAATAAAGTGCACAATAAATGTAATGCACTTGAATCATCCAAAACCATCCCCCTCCCTTCTATCTGTGAAAAAAATTGTCTTCTATGAAACCGCCCCTGGTGCCAAAAAGGTTGGGAATGGCTGCTTTAAAGGGTTTCTCAAGGTTCTAAAATTTTATTTGATAAGAAGTAGAATCATACAAAAAACAAAATGTATGTGTGAATATGGGTATTTATACAGATATAGTATATATACTTACATACAGGCAAGGAGGAATTTCCAAATTTCATCTACTGTAAAATATACACACACCACACCAACACATGTGCACACATGGCATCCTAATAGAAGGCAAGGAGAATTGACATTTACTGAGCACTTCCTATGTGCCACATGTTTTATATATATTAGAATATTACAGTATATGGTAGCTTTTATCCATTGATTCAGTCTCAATACTTTTTTTTTTTTTTTAACAGTAGAGCAACTGAGGCTCACAGCAGTTATGTAACCTGCCCAAAGTCACATAGCATGATGGAGAGTCTGGATTGGAGATTTTGTCTGACTGCAACACTCATGTATCAAATCCTATTCAGTTTTGATGTTAAAAATTCTGCGGTTGAATTCGTCACAGTGTATTTAAATAAAACAACAACAAACAAAACACAGCAAACCTTAACATAGTTGCTAATCATATGAGTCTTACAAGGCCACCTCTCTCTTACTATCATTTATACT